CTTTGCTCAGATGGGTCTCAAACTACAGAACTCAAGTGATCCTCCCACCTTGGCCTCCCAGAGTGCTAGGATTACAGTCATAAGCCGCCGTGCCCAGCTTGTATAATTTGTTTGTGTCCCTTGCCTACTTTTGTTGGAGTTATTTGTTTTTCTTGCTAACTTTTTGAGTTTTTTGTAAATTCTGGATATTAATCCTTTGCCGAATGTATAGTTTGTGAATATTTTCTGACATTATTTAGGTTCTCTGTTTAGTCTGTTATTTCCTCTGTTGAAAATTTTTTTAGTTTAATTAAATCCCATTTATTTATTTTTGTTGTGGTTGTATTTGATTCAAGATTTTAGTCATAAATTCTTTGCCTAAGCCAATGTCCAGAAGAGTTTTTCCCATGTTTTAATTTGTATGGTCTTACATTTAAGCCTTTAACCCATCTTGAGTTAACTTTTGTGTATGGTGAGAGATAGGAAACACCTATGTATGGTGAGAGAGAGAGAGAATTAATATTTTCATTTTTCTACATGTAGCTCTCCAATTTTCCCAGCACCATTTATTAAATAGGGGGTACTTTCCCAAGTGTATGTTTTAGTCTGTTTGTACAAGATCAGTTGGTTGTAGGCATATGGTTTTATTTGGGGGTTCTTCATTTTATTCCACTGATTTATGTGTGTACCTTGATACCAATGAAGTCTGGTAACATCATGCCTCCAGATTTGTTGCTTTCGCTTAGGATCACTTTGACTATCTAGGTTCTATTTTGATTTCATTGGAAATTTAAGTTTACTTTTTCTAGTTCTGTGAAAAATTAGTTGGTATTTTAATGGGAATTGCATTGAATCTGTAAATCACTCTGGGCAGTATAGACATTTTAATAATGCTTATTCCTCCAATCAATGAGCATGGGACATTTTCCATTTGTTTATCTGTGATATATCAGTCTTTTGTAGTTTTTCTTTCACTTCCTTGGTTAAGTATATTGTTAGGTATTTTATTTTCTTTACATCTATTATAAGTGGTATCAAGTTCTTGATGACTTTTAGCATAATTGTTATTGGTGTATAGAAATGCTAATGATTTGTGTATATTAATTTTGTAATTTGAGACTCTACTGAATTTGTTTATAAATTCTAGGAGTCTTTTGGTGAATTCTTTAAGGTTTTCTAGATGTCAGGTCATATTTTCAGCAAATAGGGGTAGTTCGACCTCTCCTTTTGTGATTTGGATGCCTTTAGTTTCTTTGTCTTGCCTGATTGCCCTGGCTAGGACTTCCAGCACTATGTTAAATACAAGTGGTGATAGTGCTTCTTCCAATTCTTGGAGGAATTTCAACTTTATCCTATTCATTATGATGTTGGCTGTGGGTTATAGCTTTTAAAATTTTTCTTCTGTGCCTAGTTATTTGAGGCTTTTTATCATGAAGGGTTACTGGATTTTATCAAATGCTTTTCTGCATCTATTTTGGTTTGTTTGTTTGTATGTTTTTTAGAGAAGTAACATTTACTACATTTGAAACAATACAGCAGAAATCTCAAAAATTTACTCATTGTAAATTATATTTTAGCATAATCCACCTCAAATAGTAATGTCTTTTTCTGCATTTACTTGGATATGTATAGAATCCCTTTTTTTCATACTACATCACAGAAGAGGAACGTGCTGATTTGTACAGATATTTAACAGAGCACTCTGATATGATTTTCCTAACTACTGCCTTCATATTTCATTTTGAATTCAGACCACTGAAATTGCAGCATACATGAATTGCATTTTCATGTATGAAATTTCATGAAATTTCAAAAGGAAATTTATAAAAATTAAATTATTCTGGTTTTTGTTTTTAATTCTACTTATGTGGTGAATCACAACTTGTTGATTTGCATATGTTAAACCAGTTTTGCATTCCTAGGATGAAACACACTTGAACACGCAGAATTATCTTTTTGGTGTGATGTTGGATTCAGTTTGCTAGTACTTTGTTGGAGTTTTATACATCTATATTCTTGAGGGATATTGGTCTGTAGTTTTGTTGTTGTTGTTGTTGTTGTGTCCTTTCCTAGCTTTGGTATCAGGGTGATTTTGGCTCCTGGCTTCATAGAATGAGTTAGAGAGGATTCCCTCCTTCTTGATGGTATGGAACAGCTTCAGTAGGGTTGAGGCCAATTCTTTGTAGGTCTGATAGAATTTGGTTGTGAATCATTTTCTCCCAGGCCTTTTTGTTGTTGTTATTTTAGGGAGGATTTTTTAATTAGTGTTTTGATCTTACTACTTCTTATTGGTCTGTTCAGGATTTCTAGTTTTTCTTGATTCATACTTAATGAGGTGTGTGCTTCTGAAAATTTATCTAGTTCCTCTAGGTTCTCTACTTCATGTGCATAGAGGTATTCATAGTAGTCTCACATAATCTTTTGTATTTCTTTGGGACTAGTCATAATGTCTCTTTTTCATTTCTGGTTGAACTTTTTGTGTGGAATACTTTTTTCCACCCCTTAAATTCAATGAGAATCTTTCTGAGTCAAATGGGTTCTTGGAGACAACATGTATTTGGGGTTTTTAAAAATCCGTTCTATCAGTTTATATATTTTAAATGGGGGATTTAGAGGATTTTCAGTGTGAGTATGGATATGTGAAATACTGTAGCAGTCATCATATTGATTGCTACCTAGTTGCTTTGTTTTCTCCTTTGTGTTATTATTCCATAAGAGCTGTGTGTTTTTATGTCTAGATGTTTTTACACTGGTACACATTGAACTGTTCTATTCAATGTATAGAGTACTTTTTAACATTCCTTGCAGGAAAGGTCTTGTGGTAACAAAATCACTTATTGTTTGCTTGTCTGGGAAAGATTTTATTTTTTCTTCATTTATGAAACCTAGTTTTATAGGATAAAACATTTGTGGCTGATAGTTATTCTGTTTAAGATGACTAAAAATAGGACCCTCATTCTCTTCCAGCTTGTAAAATTTCCTATGAGAAGTCTGCAGTTAGTCTGGAGGATTTTTCCTTGTAAGTTATTTGATGCTTTCATCTCACAACCTGTAAGATTTTCTCCTTCACTTTGAATTTATTTAGTATGATGACTTGTGCCTTGGAGATATCCTGTTTGTAAGACTCTTCCTGGAATTTGATAACCTTCTTGTATCCAGATGTTTAAATTTCTGGGAATACCGGGGAAGTTATGAGGCTTTTACAGCTATTTATTAAGTAACCTTCTCTAAACTTGAGATATGTCCCTACAAATACACTTTGAACCTGTCATTGCTTGAAGTGAATTAACACTTTGAATTTTGATTGCAGTGTTATTAACTTAAATAATTTTGTAGAGTGAGGAAAATACTAAATAAATAACTCTGTAAAAAATAAGAAAAAGTAAATTATGAAGACCTAGACCTTAGGAGACTGTAAATTATGAAATCAATTATACAAAAATCCAAATAATATTTGCGATAAGAAAGGACAATTTCTACATCTAAGAAGTAAAAATAAGCTAAAAGATTAATGGCGATACAGAGAAGTTTGAGATGAAAATGAATAAATTTTATTTCTACAAGGAAATGGTAGAATTTGAGACTATTGACTGAAAGGAGGAAAGCAAGAGTTAGTTTTAAGCCAATTATAGATTAGGTGGGTAGTTCTCAATCAGGGTGACCTATCCCATTGCATTCATTTGACAATTCCTGCAAACATTTTTAATTGTCACAACTGGGGAGGAATGGTTCTGATGTGGTAGGTAGGAATGGTTCTATGTGGTTCTTCATAGTGGTAGAAACTATGGTACTGCCAAACAGGCTACAAAGCACAGAACAAATCTTACAATAAAAAAAAATTACCCATACCAAAATGTCAACAATTCCAAGGTTGATAAACTCTGGATTACTAGGGTAAAAATGTCAGCAAAATGATAGGTTCTACCTTGGAGCCCCAGAGATAAAGAAAGCAAGATGTTATTTTTATAGATGGCTATACTTCTAACTTCTTGTACACTGATCCTCAATAATAAGAAGGTAACGTATAAAATTTCATTCAGATGTTTCATTATTTTATTTCAGAATTTTTGAATTAATTGCCATACATACTCAACTAGAATTGCAATTTTGGGAAAGACTGAAAAGTCATGCACAAAAAGAGACTAACATATTGTGAAGACAACACCCTGTAGGAAAAAAGTTCTGGGTTTAAATTTAGGTGCTAGATAAGATAAAGTGACAAAGTAGCGAGTAATGCTGAAATAAGTGATATTATTATGTTTTTAATGATTCTAGGACAGTGGTTCTCAACCTACTTATGAAGTAGTAATGAAAATAATTTTATGGTTGGGGGTCACTACAACATGAGGAACTGTATTAAAGGGTTGCAGCATTAGGGAGGTTGAGAACCACTGTTCTAGAATATCTGTCTCTCAAGTGTCCCAGAAATCTCTAAATTAGAAAAAACTCCAGGAAATTTGAACGAGCAGATAGGGTATGAAGTCACTCCCCTTGTTTCATTTAATATTAATGTGGTTTTTCTCCTCAGTGAAACAATATATAAAAGTAAATACAACAAAAGAATGAACTGTAAAGTTATTGATTCAAATTTGTCATCCTTGAGCATTTAGTTTGGTGCTTCTATGTTTTTGGAGCAGAAAAGTTATTCTGAGGGGGAAAAAGTCACAGTAAAAGACATTTAATGACATGAAAATGAACAAAGTTCCCTTTATATAATATTCCAATGATTCATGTAGATTTTTAAGTTCAATCAGATAATGTCTACATTATAACCCATGTTTGAACATTTTATATGAGACTTAAAAAACTATCCAATAGTCCATCACTCTTACTATCATAACTTGAAGTTTTAAATACTTGAAGTTTACTAGAACACTGAAAAGGGTATAATAGTAAGATTGTTATTTATAGCTTAAGTGTAATGGCTCATTTGAGTCTGGTGATGAAGTTTCTGATATACTTACTGTGATTTCCAATGTTTGATTATTATATCTTCAGAGTTGCTGTTAAGGAAAAAAAGAATGATCAATGATAGCCACTTCAGTGGATTTGTACTACTTGGATTCACAGGACAGCCTCAGCTGGAAATGATCATCTCTGGGGTTGTCTTTTTCTTCTACACCATTGCCTTGATGGGAAATGCAGCCATCATCCTGCTGTCTTTCTTGGATGACCATCTGCAAAGCCCCATGTATTTCTTTCTTAGAAATTTGGCCATCTTGGATCTTTGTTACACCACAAACATAGTTCCACAGATGTTGGTCAATATCTGGGGCAAAGACAAGACAATTACCTTTGGTGGCTGTGCCTTTCAACTTTTCACTGATATGGTACTGTGCTCAGTTGAATGCATCCTTCTGGCTGTGATGTCATATGACCGATTTAATGCTGTTTGCAAGCCTCTGCATTATATGACCATAATGAACCCCCAACTCTGCCAAGGCCTTGTAGCTGTTGCCTGGGTAGTTGGTATTATTAATTGCATGATACTTTCTCCCTATGCCATGAGTCTTCCTCGGTGTGAAAATCACCACCTAGACCACTTTTTTTGTGAAATGTCTGCAATGATCAAGATTGCATGTGTGGACACCACAACCATGGAGGTAACCACATTTGCCATGTGCCTGATTATAGTTCTCGTTCCTCTTCTTCTCATACTTGTTTCATATGGCTTCATTGCTATAGCTGTACTCAAGATCAAGTCTGCAGCAGGAAGACAAAAAGCATTTGGGACCTGTTCCTCACATCTCATTGTGGTATCCATCTTTTATGGAACTGTCATCTACATGTACATACAGCCAGGAAACAGTCCAAGCCAGCATGAAGGCAAACTTCTCAGTATCTTTTATTCCATTGTTACTCCTAGCTTGAACCCACTGATTTATACACTAAGGAATAAGGAGTTCAAGGGTGCCATGAAGAGGCTGATTGTAAAATAAAAAGGTTGCAGGAAACTAACAGGACATGTATTCTTCCTCCCAGCAATTTTCAATACAGAAATTGGCCCCTTCCAATCTAAAAGTAGACAATTTATTTTGTAATCAACAAAGATAAAGACAATACTCAGGAAATAAATAAAAATTACAATCAAATCCAAAGCATTTATTGAATTATTAATACATAATAATACAGGTACAAAAACTCATATTTAAAATGAATTTATAAACTTAAGTACCAACACCAGAAATAACTTATACTGTGCACTGATTTTTTTGTGTTGTAAATGTTCCAATAGTATTTAAATTGATTAATCTAATTCTAGTATTTTCCTTTGATTATGCTAACTAAATAATGTCATGAATTCAAGTGTGCAGTTCTCACTGCACTGTATTTTAAGATACAACATCTTTTCTTCAACCAGCCCCAGGAATATTTTTACCTATGAAAATCTCTACCCTGAAAATTGCAGCAATAAAACCAGTTATTAACCAAGAAGACTGAAAGTTCTAGTTCCAAATCAGCTTGAAAGTAACCTAATATTAATTGGTCACAGTCATTTTTATCCCTTAAATATCAGCTTCTGCCCAGATAATCATTTAAAGAATTTGATTCTTGTGATCACAAAAAGAAAAAAATTATATCAGGTTACATTAACTACATTTAAAATACATACTAATACTTCTTCCTGTTCTACTTAGTTTTCCAAATTTTTACTGCTTATTTTAAAGACCAACATGGAAGTATTATCATAGTACCTGATTTGAAAGTCCTAAATTCCTATTCTGAGTTCTTGGGGGAAAATTGATATATGGAAAGGTGATTTTATTTGACAACCAAAAAGGTTTCTTAGTCTTCCTCTAAAGTGTTTTTTAAAATCATTTCTTCTTCATTTTTGTTAAGTTATAATTCTTTCCATATTTAGGAAGACAAATTTTGATGATGGAGGTAGTTTAGAGCTATATTACCAGCTTATATCTTGAAAACTAAGAATTTTTAATCCTTACCTTATGTTTATGGTCCAATATGCAATATTATTTTTCTTGATCCATCTCTTATTCATATTATAGCTATTACACTATCATGTAATTCCATTCACACTAGAGAGTTTTTTTTTAAGCTAGACTGGTTCGTTCTATTTCTCATATCTGCCATCTCCCTTGAAAAAGTCGAAAACTTAACAGAATGAGAAATCAAGAATATTTGACTTTGTTGTTTTTGAAGTTCTTAAGCATGAAAACAAATTTAATTTCTATTAAATTAAGACGTCTACATGTTCCATTGGTGAAGCTAAGTTAAAATGGTTTAATACCTGGTTTGAAGAATCTAAAATACAGATAGAAATAGTTTAAGCTCTGCAGTAACTTTTCATCCCAGCTTCCCAGGAAATGGCACTACTTCCAGAAGTTTTTCTAAATCTGCAGAGAAAATACAGCAACAACAAAAATAAATAAACAGGACTTAATTAAATTAAAAAGATTCTGCACAGCAAAGTAAATAATCAACAGAATGAATAGACAATCTATAGAGTGGAAGAAAACATTTGCAAACTGTGTAACCAACAAATTCTAATATCCAGAAATTACAAAGAACTTAAATTCGCAAAAAAAGAAAAAGCAAATAAAAAAAAAAAACACCAAGAAGTAGATAAGTGGAATAAACAGAAGTTTTTCAGAAGAATATATGGCTATAAAACATGAAAAATTGTTCAACATCATTAATCATCAGGGAAATACAAATTGCCCCTATCAGAAAGGCCATTATTTTTTTTTTTGAGACAAAGTCTCTTCATCACCCTCATGTTATAATGTGCCATGACATTATAATGCACAGCAACCCCAAACTCTTGGAAACAAGCAATTCTTTAAAAAGTAAAAAATAAATAAATAAATAGATAAATAAATGCTGGCATGTAGGTACAGAGAAAGTAACACGTAACACTATTGGTAGGACTGAAAATTGGTACAACCTCTATGGAAAGCAGTATGGTGACTCTTCAATGAAATAAATGTAGACCTACCATTTGACCCAGAAATCCCACTACTGGGTATCTACCCAAAGGAAAAGAAACCATTTTATCGAAAGGCATGTGCACTCAAATGTTTATTGCTGCACAATTCACAATTTCAAAGATGGGGATGCAGCCTAAGTGCCCTTTAGTTCATGAGTGGATTAACAAAATGTGGTATATATCTACTATGGATTACTACTCAATCATAAAAAGGAATGAAATAATGTCTTTTGAAGCAACATGGATAGAACTGGAGACCATTATCCTAAGCAAAGTATCTCAGGAATGGAAAACCAAATATCATATATTCTCACTAATAAGTGGGAGCTAAACAATGCATACACATGGACATAAAGCAATTAAAGGACATGAAAAGCCAAGAAAGGAGGAGGGAAAAGTGAGTATGTGGGATAAAAACTTACTATTGGGTACAATAAAACTATTCTGGTGACAGGCACACCAAAAGCCCTGAGTTAAGCATTATTCAAGGTAGCCACATAACAAAAACATTTGTACTCTTTAATTAATATTTTGAAATAAAAATAAATCTATAGATAGACATCTAACATTTTGTAATAAATGTTTTGTACCTTTGAACCTATTAGGAGTGCTCTATTTTCCAGGAATTCCAAAATGTAAAGAAAAAGCATTCAAATATACAAAAGAGAGAAAACATAGGAGAGAAAGTTACTAAAAGCAGATAAGAGAAATGTTCATATTAGAAGAACATAACACATACAGCTTAAAGAATGTTGTAACTATAAAGTAACATTCACCCAAATCAGGTCTCAGAAAAAAGTGCCTGAAGTGCCATTTCATGATTGTCCCCATCCTTCCCACTCAACAGTAATCATATAGACTTCACTTTTTTCCTTTTCTATACATACTTTACCTTATTATGCTCTGTAAATAAACTAGTATAACTTTAATTTTTTTTAATATCATATAAATGGATTATGTTGTCCCTAGATTCATTTAAATAACATTACATTTTTTTAAATTTATTGTTGGGAATTCATTGAGGGTACAAGAAACAGGTTACACTGATTGCATTTGTTAGGTAAAGTCCCTCTTATAATATCACATTTTTTTTGATCCATCCATGTATTGAGCATTTCTCTTTTCTTATTATTTCAGGTTAATGTAAGGGTACAAACAACCAGGTCAAAACATTTGAATTTGTTAGGTCTCCCATATAGTTATGTCCCACACTCAAAAGGTGTGCCGAACACCCTTGCACTGTCTCTTCAGTGGGAGTACCCCACTACACCTCCCCTCTACTCCTCCTTTGTATCCCCTCAATTAAGCTCTGTAGTGACTTTCATCCCAGCTTCCCAGTTAATGGCACTACATAAACAGGACTTAATTAAATTAAAAACTTGAATTGAGATGAATTTTTCTCCTATGTGGACATGCATAAGATCATTGGATTCATATTAATATTGACATTAGATAATTGCTTTTCCATTCTTGTGATACTTAGTACTAAGAATGTGTTTTAACTCCATCCAGGATAATACAAAAGTTGTGAAGTCTCCATCCTTTTATGACTGAATAGTATTCCATGGTATGCGTATACCACAGCTTGTTAATCCATTCCTGAGTTGATGAGCATTTAGGTAGTTTCCACATCTTGGTAATTATAAACTGAGCGGCAATAAACGATCTAGTGCAAATGTCTTTATGATAAAAGCATTTTTTTTTTCTCCTGGATAGATGTGTAGTTGTGAGATGGTTAATGAATGCATAAGTATTGTTAGATTGAATGAACAATATTTAATAGCACAATAAAGAGACTGTAGTCAACAATGAGTCATGCTATTACTTTCAAATAACTAAAAGAGTGGAGTTGTAATGTTCCTAATACCAAAAAATCATAAATGCCTGAGGGGAATGAATAATTTGTGTGAGTATTTAAAGTATTAAATAATTGAATTTAATACTGTGATTTTATCAACACACATTATATGCCTGCGTCAAAACATCATATGTATCCCATAAATATATACAGCTATTATGTACTCAAAATAATTAAAATATTTTCAAAACAAAAGCAATAGTCATTATCCTTTACCCATTCAGACTCAGGAGCAAAACGTTTAATACTTTACCTTTTCTAGTAATGATTTGCTATGGGTTTGTGAAAAAAACATTTTTTATATTTCAAGTGGTGACATTTTCCATAAGATGCTAAATCTTATCCAATGTTTTATATTTCTGTATAGAAATGTTTTCTTATTTTATTCAATTAACATGGTGAATCATATGACTCAATTTGAAGCTCCTCTTGCTTTTCTTGAACAAACAGAATTTTGTCATAATACATTTTCCTTGTTCCATACCATAGGATTCATTTCATAGATGACTAATAATTTTATCTGATTAAGTAATGTTCATAATTTTACCTAATTAAGTAATAGGTCACTGAAATCAAAAAATTTCAAAATAGTGACCATTCTGTTTTTAGGCTATCTTCTTTCATTTCTACTTCATTGTTTTAGTTATATGTACACATGTGCTCCAATTTCACCTACATTTAATATCCTTGAAAAACTGTAATAACTTTGTTCATTTCATTTTTAATTTTATTCAACTTTTTAATGCTGTCTTTTTTTTACTTTAAGTTTATTCACTTTTACCTGCTTTTTTAAAAAATTTCATTTGTTTTTCTTCCATTTCTTCTCTTAAAACATACTGCAGTATTGTTTATCCCTTTTTTTCACCACATAGTTTGTGAGTTTTATGTTTCTGTTCTGTGTTCTAGCTTCATAAGGTTAGTTACTTCCTTAAGTTTCTCTTTTTTAATGAACCATGGCTCTCAATCCTCATTTTCTGAATAGTAACATTTTAAAGAATGAGGTAAGTTGCTGCTTGCCTTTTTCCTGACCCCATCATGTTTATTACTATTTATCTCTAATAATTGTTTTATTTTATTATTACATTATTATTTTTATTATTAATGAGTTCATATTTTGTCCTGGACAAACTGTTCTCAGAATATTTGTACTAGAGATGAGCCAATTATGTATTGTAAGCCATAAGAATGTTTCTTCAGACTCAAGACTATATCCACAAGTGAGTTTTTTAGCTTATAATTCTAAACAGTCAACTGAGATTTTCTGCTCTAGGTCTAGGTCTAGCTTAGGTGCAGTCTCGCCCTTATTCTGTAATATAACAATAAAATATATCTAAGTGTAGCTTATCTCTGTGATTTCTTGTTGGCTTGTTTTAATGAAAGTCACTTAGTTTATTTCCCGGCCATTTTCAGAGAGGAGATGAGAATATTCCAGCTATTTGCAGCAGAGGGCATCCATTTTCAGCATTGTTTCATACCTGTCTCAACTTCACTAATTTCAATATATTTTTCTACTTTTGGACATTTGTCAGAGGTCAGCTTTTAAGATGAAGTTTGCATTTTTGTTTTATTAATCTCTTGTTTTGAGGTATTTCTTAGGGAAGAAGAAGTAATAATTCTTTGTCCTACTACTAGAATTTTAACCTGCCATTTTAAATAATCTCTAAGATTCATGACAAAGCTTGCGATCTTTGATATTATTATTAGAGCTATTCAATACTGAATACTGCAAAAATATTTTTGGAAATACACATCTATAAATTGGCAACTTCTAGGGAGTAAGTAATTGAACAGTGTGCCCTCAATAGAAGTAACAAACTAAAATATAAATAATAATTTAGGCATAAGCCTATGAAATAATTACCACTATAATTCTCTTACTTTTCCTGTCTATGGTAGTGACCCAGACACACTGCTACTTTTACTAAAGTAAAAGTATGCAACTTTTACTAAGATGCAACTTTTACTTAAAATGTCTTTCCTTGTAGAAGTTAGGAATTTTATTGTTACTGAAATATGTTTGAAATTTTAGTTTAAACAAGAGAAGATATGATAGGAAAAATACAACTTGTGCTCATTTGCATAAGTATATTTACATGTCATCTGTATTGTTCATTACCTATGTTGCCTAATAGTACCTAATTTGTAACATCTAGACACACAATGTTCTTCCATATAAAATAGACTAATAAAACTATCAATTAAAGTATTTTATTGATAAAACCATATATAGAAATGTATTTTGACTGCTAAACACTGTTCTATCTTTTTATTTCATCTTACATTAGTGTATTTATAATAATGATGATTGTTTTAATTTCCACCCAAAGTTGAAAAGGAATTGATTGATTCTGGCAATTTGTGACCCTTCTTTTGAGAGATTTATTCAATGTTTTCCCTTGGGTATCTTTATAGTACACATTAATTGCTAATGAGATAATTCAATTTCCCTGAAGTCTTCCCAGATACAACATATTTCATCATTGCTGTTTAGGAAAACCTAATTAGTTTAATTTCACATTGAAGATGTTTCTTCTCTGAATCATAAATAGGATAATTCATCTTGGATAGGTACATGAACTGAGAGAGCTGAGAGACAGGGCCACCTCTTGACATAAACATGTAGGATCCCAATGCAAGTGAGAGGAATGGTGTAAGTAATTGCATTCTCCATAGTTAGATCCTGCTTTAGAAAAGTTAGATCTTTTTTCTCTAAGAACAATCCTTATTTAAATTATGAGCACAAGAAAAGCCTATAAGCTTAATTAGTAAACAAATTGGGAAAAAATATGTTGTCTTGAAAATATTTTACAATTTCTCAAATTTAGAGAAAATTTGCATAAAAACCTTTCTACTAATTTTCTTTGCTTCAAAGTTTAGAACATACATTATGTCTGAAGTTGATTTCTATGAAATGTATACAGAAAATGAAAACAAGTATTTATGTTTTTAATCTCCACTTCCCAAATTGATAAATTCATTTTAACAAACATTTATTAAGAATCTATGAGGTATACTTTATGAGGCATCTACCGGAATAAGAAGTTGATAAGTCTGTGAGAGAATTAAGATTTGTTTTAAGAGGTAAAATTTTATGAAATCAGTTTTGTATATAGGTGATAGGGGATGAGACTGTTGTAAAATCTATTGGAAATGTTTAGCAATTGGGTAAAATTATAAATCTGAAGATAAAAAGACAAGTGGACCAGAGAAAACTAGAATGGCTAGTTATTTGTGCAAAATTAGTAAGTGAAGTCACAGAGACAGAGGGAATGAGTGAAGGATAAAGAAGATCAGATATCTGATTAAAGAATCGTGGCGATGAATGCAGGGAGAAAGAAGGAAAGGAGTGGCAGTTTCAGTGGGGAAAATGCTAATGAAAAACTAATTTTAAAGAATAGTTTACAAAACTACAGAGCAACTCCAGTTTAGGAGATACTGACTTGCCATAGAGAAGTCAAGTAGAAGAATAATTTAGAAAAAACCAGGGATATTGCACTGGGATATTGTTTGTGTGTTTGAGAAACCATTTTTAGTTGACTACTGGGGGTAAGCTGTAAAGAGACAGTACTTATTGTAGATATGAAGGGAAAGGAGCCAGGTGTGGTGATTAAAGTTTCTTTTAACAGTCAAATGTTTACAGATGCTTTCTCTGTGCTAATCCTGAGGAGAGTCCCTGGTGATACAAAAACGAAAATCAGAATTCTCTCCCTTGAAGCAGTTTAACATTTTAAATACATGATAACTAGATCCAAAAGTTTTGTAGGATGAGGAAAAGACAGGAATGATTATTAGACGTTAGGTATAAAATTTTGAAATGTATCTATTTCTAAAGAATCACTCCATTTGAGATGGTAGAAAATGGAATCAAAAGTACAGATGAGAAGATAACATTTGCAGTGAAAGAGACAGATTGCTGGTCTTGGGGAAGGTGGGAGGGGGAGGCAAATAACATTTGAGAATACAAGTTTTGGTATGAAAGGAAAGATTTTTTAAGACTACAAAATTAGAAGATTTAGATAACAGATTGAAAGTGGATAAGTGGATAGCAGAATTAAAACTATGCAGCTTAAATATCTGAAAAAGAGCATAAGAGGTATGAAACCTGTATTTTCTATAAACCCTCAGCTCAAGGAGGTAACAATTTGTCATGGATTCGTAACTCCTATCATAGCATCACTATGAATAAAAGGAAGTCCATCCAGTTTTATTTAGCCATTTTGTTCAGAGTCTTCCTATGACACTTCTGCAATTGTTTGCCTTGGTATACAAGTGTCAATCTATATAACAAACAGAGAGGGGGTGAAATGATGTTTATTGGAACTAAAACATTGTATAGGGAAGGGAATATGTATGCCATAGTAAACTGTGTGCATATTCAGGAAGGTTAAAGGAAGATTAAGTTTTTCAATGGACAGAAAATGAGAGGATTACATAATTGCCTTGAAATAATTATTTTTGACTACAGAAATCAACAACAAGGGTGACACCAGTCTAAGGTTGGACAGGTAGTTGATGGACAGATGTCCTTATAGGAGCATTTCTTGCATAAGGTTAAAATGGCCTTTGTGCAAGGTTGTAGTTTTTGCAATCTTTTATAATACTATTTGTTATCAGACATACCAGCATGAGAACCCTCTCTTCATTGCACTCCATGGCTCTATTTTTTAGGGTTTTCTTAACATTAATGATTCTCTTTTGATTTTCACA